ACTAAATTAAAAATAATTTCTCTTAGAGAAGCGTGTGTGACTCTCCAGATGCTAATTAGAGGTTATAACAAACAAAAAGGCTTTTAAAAAGTCTTAAATAAAAAATGTAACTGCTCTGGGCAGTTCATAGCTTAATCCGGAATGCAACAAGGATGCACTGTGAAGTACTGAGAAGGCTGAGGAAGCTATAGAGCCCAGATCTGCACCTTTTTAGTTCTGTGTTCTGACTTTCCATACATCTGGTGAAGACCACATCTTCAAGCTGCTGAGTTAAAAACCTTAAAATTAAGAAATACTATTCCATGTTTTTGTAGAATCATAGAACACAGAATGGATAGTATTGGAAGGGACCTTAAAGATCACTGAGTTCCAACCCCCCTGCCATGGGCAGGGACACCTTCCTCTAGACCAGGTTGTTCCAAGCAGAGGTACGGGCAGGAAACCAGAAAGACACAACAACCAATCTTATGGAGGCCTTTCCAAGCTCAGGAGTTTTTCATGACCTGTTTTCTTTATTTTCTTCCCTATCCTGCTGCCATCTTTTAAAGTCAGCATTTTCAAGACGGCCTGATTTCCCACTTCACGAAAATTACCTCCAACTTCATTTTGAGATGTAACTGGTAGAGACTACTGCCTTGTAAGAGGCAATAATTCAAAAGCAGATTTTGATTAACGAGACAGTATTCCTGAGACTCTCACTAATCTCTATGCTTTCTTGGAAGAGGCCAGGCTGTTTCTTGAAGTAGTTACAGAAGGAGTTGCCTCTCACTTGCTTAAGCTGTGCTCCTGTAGACAGAATTTCTAAAGCTACAATAGTGCTTTGTCAGTTTTTTCCATTGGCTCAAGGCAGCAAATACCATGTAAATGTTACAGAGAACATGGGATGGATGGGATGGGCAGAACCTGCTCAGAGGTCCACATTTTAAGAACTTGGAGAAGAAGGAAATCTCTGAGAGATCTATAAGCAATAGTTTGATAATACACCAATTCATTCATTTATTTCATGATGGTTTGTCGAAGCTTGTCGCACATCACTAAAATATCTCTGCAGAAAAGGAGACATTACACGTTTCCTGCATAAGTGTGTATAATATGAAGAAATAATA